AGATAGAAGGAAGGAAGGAAGGAAGGAAGGAAGGAAGGAAGGAAGGAAGGAAGGAAGGTGTTCATATCCCTGAAGACAATAAGAAGCACCTTGACTGCAGCTTGGAGGAAATTGCTTTGAATGGAACTGAGCAGCATGCTCTGTAACTCCCACAAGACCCCTGGCTAGAGTGAGCATGGGAATTCTGGGATATGTAGTTAAAAATGGAGCCTTCCAAGATCCAGAGGATCACTGTGCTGGTGATGTATCCTGAAGGCCCCAGGTTTATGAATCCACTTTGAATACAGGGGCATAGCTGAAAAAAGATGGAATCCACTCTTGAACCAGTGGCTACCAATATCCCGTTCTGATGCTACTGGTTCCAGTGATGGGGGCTCACTGATGCACCCTGCCCACCTTCCACCCTTCTCGTCCCAACAGAGTGTAGTGGGCGAAGAGAACCCTGCCTTACCGCCACACCGTTGACAAAAGCCGCCAGAGGGGGAGAGAGCTTTAAGCCCCTCCTTCCGTAGATGGAGCTGGTGGGGTTGGAAGCGAACATTTCCTGCCAAAGAGAAATGTGTGTGTGTGTGTGTGAGAGAGAGAGAGGTGCTCAGACCCTGGCAGGACAGGGAACACCTCATGAGACCCACACTCCCAGGACTGCCGTCCTTACCTGGCAATACCGCAGGGTGGTCTCAAAGACGGGGCTTGTGCTGCCCAGCAGCCCCACCCCGATGCTGTCGAGGACCATCCGCTTGCTCCGATGACGGACCACCTCGGAGAGGTGATGCGGGCGGATGCCGTGGATAAAAGAGGCAAAACTGCCGGTGACGGTCTCTTCCAAAGCGCCCTTCTCCACAGCTGCTCAGGGGGCAAGGAAGAGGCACGGATCCGTAACTATTCAAGCCTCCACAGTTCCACCCTGAGTGGTGCCAGGAGACTCCTCTGATGAGGGGCACCAGGGCTCAGCTCCTGACCTTCCAAAAGTACTGTAAGTCATACCCATTGCATGTTATCGTGTCTAGAAAATGTATCTGTTGCTACAGTGTTGTGGGTGTGAGAAGATCTTGTCCTATTGCTTGTTATTCTGCTCATTCCACATGCCTTTGCACGCGAGAGGGATAAGATTCAAGCCCAGGCATCCCCTGTTTCAAGACATTCTAGTTTGCTGCTGATGAGAGAGAGAGAGAGCTCTCTGCCCAGCTGCGGCTTGGAAAGCCAGGAGCAGTCAGATGGCTGAAAAACACTGGGATGGGCAGACCATTGCCCTGGTTCAGTACAAGTCAAGATTCCTTCCTTCCAGCCCTGGAGAAACCATGACATATTTAAAGTGCAAATAGCCACAACCAACCCACCTCTCAAGTTTTGTTTGTGGAAGGAAACTTTTAACTGTTCATCACAGATGGGGAAGAGCCTATTACAGTTTTGACTTGTTGAAGAAACATTCTGTGTAAAATTTGCTGCTCAAAAATGCTGGAAGTTTATTTATCTTATGAACGCCCAGCTCTTTCCTTTATAGACCATTCTTTCATAGTAAGGATGGGATGTTAAGGTCCGCTAGTCTAAATCCTTGTTCCTTCTTTGGACCTGCCACACAAGAAAGAGTCCTCCAGCCTGTATTCCTGGGCAAGGACTGCCCACCACTTCCTAAGGGAGGCTGATCAATGTCAAGCCCCTCTCACCATAAGGAAGTTTTTTCTTGAAGGTGAGCCTGAACCCACTTTCCTGCACAGGTTCAGGGGGAACAGAGGACACTTATGTTCCCCTTCTAGCCCTTCTGATTTTTAAAGACTGCTCTCACATCTCCCAGGGATCTTCTCTCCTCCTGGATGTGGCTAAACATGTCCAGCCCATCTAATTTGTCCTCTAAGGAACTTGGTTGGCGTGGACCCCTTGACACCCTGGTCACCCACCTCTGGATATGAACTAGTTGGGCAAACATTCGTCTCAAAATCTGGCACCCAGAACAGCTGAAGGAGCCCAGCAACAGGATGCCAGGAGTGCCCAGCAGCTGTTGAGAATATAGGTAAGCTTTCTTTTCCTCTGGGTGCTGAAGAATAACAGAGGGAAATGGGCAGGTTGTTTTGGTGGCCTCTCAGGAAAGCTGGGTGTGTTTTACATATGCTGGCTTCCCAGGCTCTTCCACGGATGAGGGAGGGAGACTCTTTCCCCAAGCAACGAGATGGTTCAAAAGGGGCAATTGCCATCCAGAGGCCATCAGCAGAGGGAAAGGTTAAGCCCCATTGCTTCCCACCTCCTGGGACCCCTTCCTCAAGCATCCCTCCCCCCCCCCCAGCAGGCAGTCTCTGCATGGAGCTGAGACCCCTTTCCCCCTGGCTGGATATCTGAGGAAGCTTACAGCATCTTTACCAAGCAAAGGGGAAGAGAGAGAGAGAGAGAGACTCACCTTTTGCAGCCACTTTGTGTACATGCCTGGAAGTAGCAAAGACCTTGTGGGCACTCTAGAGAGAAGCAGGTGGCATCGAGTCAGCAAAATGGATGGGGAGCTGCTGCTCCTGAAGAAACATCTCCCCCATACACACACACACACACACACACATTCCTCTTCCCAAGCTTTTAACATGCTAGAAGGAAAGCCAGCTCTTTATGTGAGGAAAGCCTCCAGAGGGAGGAGAAGCTGGAAGAGGGGCAAAAAAGAGAAACATTTCCCCTCCACACACACATACCCATCACTCTTCCCAAGCTTTTAACATACTAGCAAACAAAGCACCCGAAGGAAAGCCAGCTCTTCATGTGAGGAAAGCCTCCAGGGGGAGGAGAAGCTGGAAGAGGGGCAAAAAAAACACAACACCTTCTAGAACTTCTGGCTGGCAGTCCAGGAAGGTTTGCCTTGAAGTCTGAGGGCAGATGAACAGATAAGGTATACAAGAGGAAGACAAATGATCGACGGTTGATCACAACAACCTTCATTTCCCATAAAATGACCTGATGAAACTCCTGGGGGAGACCTTTGTCCAAAGAGGTTCAAAGGAGCCTCAGGAAGAAGAGAGAATCAGGCAGGAAGAGCAAGGCATTCAAAGCCTCGTCTTCCTTGATGGGATCACTGGACCTTCTGGCAAGGAAAGGCTCAGGCTCCAGAAGGAGGGAGACAGCGTTTACCTGCAGCGTGGCGGAGACCATCCTTGTTCCTGGGTGGTGTGGTGTCGCTCCAGGAGAGAGATGATGGATCTGCTAGGTCTGAAAGGCTTGGTGGAATCTGGGTTTATATCTCTCCCACCCGTGGATTTAAGAGGCCGAGGTGACATCAGCCGCCACCCAGGAAGGGGCCTGAAGTGGTGGCTTTTCCTGGTTGGAACAATCAGCTGAAGGAAAAGCCCTCTCTTTCTGGAAACAGTGAGGGCAGAGCCCCTAGAACGATCTTCATGGGTCAGGAACGGCTGCCCAGAAATGACATCCCCTCGGCTCCTCCCCGTTTGTCAAGGTGATCATAAAAACTGTTATTTATCAGGAAATTGCCAGGAGAAGAGGAGACGGTGTGGCCGTTTAGTCTAACCATCCCTCAGAGCAGGTAACTTCTATGTCTTCAGGCTACTCCATCCCTTGCCTTTACTTGGCAGGCGCTTTACCTGGCTGCTTCCTCACCTGGCTCCTTTCTTTCTTTCCTTGAAGTTCCTCCTGGTGGTTTAGCAAAGTTCATCCTCAGCAGATCATGAGGAAGAACCAAACCTATCGAGTCTAGTTTCTTACAAGATCTTTTCTTGAAATCTTCTGTTGCTGGACCACAGGTTTTTATACTGACTTTTGTCTAGTAGGAGCAGACCTTATAGATCATCTGTTGTTGAGGGGAGGATATTGCTTAGCTGCTGGAACTCCCTGAGTGCACAAAAAGAGCTGTTTTACTCACTTCACATGATTTGCAAAATAGCTTGCTTTGTTTTATGACTGTCCTTCAGAACTAAAAACACCAGGATTCCTTCCAAGCCTGATTTCTGAGGCACCAAACTCCAACTGAGTCATGTCTCTCCAACATAAAGGTGGTTTCAGTTCTAATCACAGGCTCTCTGTAATGTCTGTTCCTACCCTCTAGAGGCACATGATGATTGCGCTGAATATTAAAAATAATTATTATGTGCCACCAAGGTGCTTCTGATGGATGGTGGCCCTTTTCGGAGTTTTCGGAGTACTCAGAAGTGGATGACCCTTCCCTTCTTTTGGTGGAGTATTTTGGGAGTGCTCGCTTTGTAAAAGGCCGCACAGGCTGGCTCTCCTGGGTTGCACAGCGGGGAACTGAACTCTCCACCTCTCGCTTCACTGCCAGAGTCCTAGCTCACTGAGCTATCCAGCCAGCTAATATATCTCACCTATAAGGTGCTAATTAAGCCCAACCTCCAACTTTGCACAAGAGGCTTGTGGGTACTCTTTGCCCAGTGATGATGCTGGACTTAACATCACTCCATTTCATACAGGCACTTAATGAAAAGAAAGTGCATTCTGCGCCATCGAATTCAAAGAAACACGTCTCTCTCTTTTTATACATTTCTCCCGTTCTTTTTAAAATTGCTACTGTCGTTAAATCCATTTCGTGCAGTATTCTCTAGAGGTGATTCAAAACATTCTCTTAAATGATTAAATCTCTTCATTGCAAATAATGATATTTGAAACATGTAAAACAGAAGTGGGTGTTATTGTCCTGCATTTAAACATGGAAGTAAAGCAATGGTCAGCCGCATTTCATCCTCACTGTTTTAATGCCGAGAAAGGCCATCTGTTCCATTGTGTAAATGAACATGAAGTTATGGCCTTGTGGGAAAAGTTCCACCGAACCTAGAAGGCTTGCTTTTGAGTAAATGAAGGGGTTTTTTTTTCCTTGTTGATGATGATGGTAGTTGTATGCAGAATCTCTATGTCTTTGATGGTTTCAAATAAAAAACACTGCTGCTACTCCTTGTGCTTTGTAACACAGTGTTAAGAACCAGAGCCTGAAACAAGGATAAACTGTTTTTCAGGGTGGAAGATGGTCTTGGATGGACATGTTGTATGAACCAAACTCCCCAAATCTGTTCCCTATGACTGCCAAGTGCTCTTGAGATTCTAGAGATGCCCTGCCCGTTTTGATGTTTCAGTCGTAAGAGCCCTGGCGTTTCAAGCCCTCTAGCAGGGTCTAGGGCTAGGCAATTCCATACAGGACTTTCCTCCAAAATAGTATGTTGATTATGCTTGTATTTCGTACCAGAACATGTGAGACTGAACTAATGTCCTATCCTCAAAGGTAGGCAACAGGGAGAGGATGATCAGGAAGGACCAGGTAGGCTGCCTTGGCCAAACATCATCACAATGTGTACGAGCCACTCTGCTCTAGGCAGGTTGCAGAACAAAGAGTCCGTGGGCGCCATTTCAAGCAGGCAAGAGTGAAATGCTGGCAAAAGTGGGTGAACGGAAGCCCTCGCTGCCTATCCAGCCATCGCGCCCAATGCCTGCCCAAGCAGGAAACGCGCCCGACAGATGGCCCCCTGCAAGCCTCTGTTTTAAAGCCTCCAAGGAAGGAGAGCCCATCATCCACAGTCAAGCCGCCCTCAGAAACGTCTTCATGCTCATTGGGGTTTCCCTTCTTGTAATCTCAGCCCACGGCTGGGAGACGATCCTCTGGAGCAGCAGAAAACGCCTGCACTGTGCCTTCTAGTCCTCTGAATACTTGGAGATCAGCATTCCCCCCCCCCCAGTGATGCTCAGCGACACTGAGCAGTAAGTTGGACCGGTGCCTCTCTCCCATCCCTCTCCGATGAAGGATAGTGAAGACAGCCACTGATCCCACAGAAGGACTTGACCTGAGCTGACTTGGAAATGCAGATCTCACCGTTGTATGAATAGCAGCCTCAGCCATGCTTTAAAATTAGGGGTGTCACTGAGAGATCCTGTGACATTGGGGGGGGGACACAGTTAGGGCCTCAGGAAAGAAGGCCTGTGGGGCCAGCGGGAGTCATTACCTGCTGGCAACGGCTTGGGGCTGCGTCAAGTTCCAATAAAAACCCATCCTTTGCTAACGGTTCCTAGTCTGATGTCATAAAAATAAAGCATAAATTGAGGAAACAAGAGAGGGAGCCAAAAAAAAAAGGAGCCATGCTGTGGGGTGGTCTCCTACTCAAAAGGAAGGATCCTGCAATGATAAATAGACTGAGGAATACAGGGCTGTAGCCCAGGTGGGGCAACAGAGGCTTCCCCCCAAGGCACGGAAATTCAGAGAGGGCTGAAATCTGGAGGCGAATCTACTGGTGAAATAAACTCAACACCTCCCAGCCTTGTTCTCTTTCTGGTTGTTTTTTTGTTTGTCAAAAGCATAAATGTTCCCTTTCTTTTGGAGTGGTACAATACATTCTTCTTATTTTTCATGGGGGGGGAGAGCTCCCGCCTTTGCCTCAGTGTAGAGCAGGTAGTAGAGATAAGCCTGCCTGCCTTTGGTGCCCAGTTGGAAGGAAGGAAGGAAGGAA